CATTAACAACTCAATTTTATTTCTGAACATGTGACTTCAAGGGCAGAGAGTTCACAATTTGCATTATGTAGTAGAAGTCAGGGGTAAGAGTAAAAACAGTGAGACAAAAATATACATCTACAAATCTTGATTTCCATACAGTTATTTTGCGAAGGTCTCATAACTAACAGTCCCCATGACTACCCTGCATAAGAGCTATCCTAAAGATCCTCAGACAAGTAGTGACCTAAGATCAGATTCCATACCCTTCTATGTACCAAAATGTAGAGGAATTGTTTTGAACATACAAGGCATGTGTACTGTAAAGTGCAGGAAATCTCAGGTAACAGGTTAACCTCAGGTTACTTTCCTGTAAGTGCAGGAAACCTCAGGTAACAATAAGCATTCTGTAAAAACTCAGCAATTACAGGTAAGAAATTTCTGTTCAGTCAGAACCAAAAAGCCAACACGCTTAATTATTTGGCAAGAGAAAATACTTGTTTTCTTATGGCTTCTTCTTCTTCTTGCAAAATAAAGGGATCTCTATAGAAATGTAGAAAAAGCACACCAGCAACTGAGCCTCTTGGCAAGAAACAGCATCAATATGATTACTAAATATCCTCCACAAGGTTGATGGGAGAGGTGGTGAGCCAGATGGCAGCCACAGGAAGAGCAACCTCTGCCATGCCAGCTGAGATAACAGATAAAACCTGACAGCAGTGTTCCTCTTAGGTGGCTGAAACAGAATGTACAGAACCTGTTAGCAATCTATTTAGCCCAGATCAATATTTGAATAGCAATTCAAGGGTAGCAAATGGCTAAAAAGCCATTCCATACTCTTTAGTAATTTCCACTAAATGGTTCAGGAGCGGACAGAGCACATCTTGAGTCTAGGGCTAGGAGCCCACACTGCTATGGGAAAGCAGCTCCTGGAAATAGAGTTGACTGGACAGACTAGCCAAAGCCTCTATTTCCTCTCATCACATTTTTGGCACATCTCCTTGATGCTTTTTACGCCTCCTTAAAAATGTACTTAAATCCTTTTGTCTGCTTTAAAGGTTACACATCTTTAGCCTGCAGTTGCTAAAAGTTACTTTCCTTGAGCGCCATCAATCTCATCATTGCAGAAAGTTCCTAATTGAAGGACTACTACAGTAAGTGTAACTCACACAAAAGTTTTAAATTCCCCATGTCCAACATTTCTGAAAGATTTGTGGGGTATCAGACCTCTTGCAGAGTTACAAATTAGCAAAGACACAAACCAAATTATTTGGATTTTCACAACAGTTCTCAAACATACCCATCTCTGAAAGTACAATGGCAGGGTTTCCTCACTGCCTATCTTCAGCACATAAATATATGTTGTTGCAATAACAACTCACCAGACAGGAAGTAAAGAAGGCAAAATCTTAAGACTAATTCAGCAAAGTTATTCATTATGGGCATAAAGTCATCCCTACTCAGCAAAGTTTTAAAGCACGTGATTAACTTGGAACACATGTTTAAATTCTTATTAATTTCAGTGAGATTATGGATGGGATATGGAAACAAATACTCTGCAGAATTGGATCTTATGGAAGAACAAGCTCAAGGAAATAAAGTTGTAAACTCTCCACTTCAGAATTTTACTCTCAATGCATTAAAATGCACACATTCCACAGAAGCAAAGGTTATCCATCAACAGCAAAACTCACATGAGAGATCAAGACCCTGTCAGCTCAAATACCCACTGGAAGAAAATACTCTAGCTTTATATGTAAGCCATGTTCTCCAACAGGCAACAGGGACCAGCACAAGGCCACAGATGTGTAGATCAATGGCATGAAGAAATAAATTTAAAAAAAAAAAAAGAGAAATAAATACAGGATGCTTCAGCCACTCTACCATTTCAAATGCATACTTTTCATTAAGAAAATAAGTGCTTTTGATATATATTAATATGGAGATAAAATGGTGGTTTTACAGAATTATTCTCATGTATCTTCAACACCATCACCCATCCAAGAGTATGACACCTGCAGTTTTCAAGGGACTATGGCTAAAAGCCAGCTCTGACATAAAAGGTTATCATCTCCATTGAAAGCACTTCTGAGTCCTACCAAGGCAGAATTTGTCCCACTAAAACCTGTGCTCACAGAAGTTGTGAACTTTGTTAATACTTTTCCTTTTAAGTTTTATTAATGATTGGAAGAAAGATAACCGAAACACACAACAATGAAAGAAGAATCAACTGAACACTAGTAAAAAAAATAACTCCATTCCATTTTGTGGTACAGAATCTGTCAGTGGGGTGTTTTACAGTTTGGGGGGTTTTGGGGTGTTTTGTTGTTTGGGCTTTTTTGATGTGTTTGATTTTTTTGTTGGGTTTTTTTCTCCCAAGAACTGCAACCAAGATTGATAGCTCCAATAAAAGAAAATTAAAATTGTTCCCTGAACAGACAGCGGAACATGGGCAGCATTGCAGGAAAATCAAAAGCACAATAATAAACCAAATAAAATCTACATATGTGTATGTAAGTATCACATATTTTCTGACACTTTCATTGAGCTTTGCAATTTTCAGGTGTCATAAGAGGATTGGCAGTGAAAATAACTGCAGAAGAAAAATATTATCATTTTGACCTATATCACTTATGAATCAGTAAACAAAACTAACTTCACAAGGAAAAGCATGGCCAACATGCCTCAAATGCTACAGTGCCTGTGTCTGGACCTCATGCCAAGGGATCAAATAAAAAAAAAAACAACAAACCCAACAACAAAAATCTGTAAAAAGCAGAAAGGCACTAAAAGGTAACTTTCAAACACAGAAAACAAACTAAGGAGCTCTTAAACAAGTCGTCTCTTAAGTTTTGGCTTTTTTTTTCCTTAAACTAAAGCATTACAAATCGTGCTAATGTTGATATAGATCTTTTCAAAGCAACTAGTGGTATATGTCACCCTAAGATGTGATCGTAATTACTATGCTTCTAAAGAGACAAAAGCACTGCTTGCCAAGCTTGCCTGCCAGTATTTCTTCAAAGCTACTTGTTAGTCATTTCGACAATAACAGCTTATCTCTACTTGGTCATGATGTGCTATCCACAAGGCTCTTTATTTATTTATTTCAGAGAGTTGTTAATGTAGGCAAACTTGACAGTCTCTTGCAATATCTTCCCACAAAAGGGGAGGATCACATCTATTCCAGGCAGCTGCTTGGCATTTTTTTATCTAATGGTCCAGCTCTGAATTAGCTACGTGCTTCACCTGTGTGTCCCCCCCTATCCTATAAGGCTAAACCAGAACAAAGGTTCTACTTGTGCTCCCCATGACAAAACTCGAATAAATTATGTCTTGCTCCTGTTGTTGCAGCAAGCTGGTTAATTGCATTTGTTTCATATATCTCCAAACAGCCTGGTACATTAATTACATTCTGTAACACCAAGCTCCTCTGATTCACTCTGTCACTTCCACTGAGCACTTTAATTGTATTCCTTCTAGCTACATACAATTTTAAACACTTACTAATAATTACATTTCTACAGCCTGATGTTTGCAGTTTGTATACAAAGCCATCTCCCATATCGGTGGCCTTAAAGTTAGGGATCTTATGTTACAGCAAGAAAAACAGAGCAAACATGAAACTATGACCACACTGATTGCCACAAACGTTCTATTAAACCCTTTCACAGTTAAAACTTCCTACTGTGTAGCATGTACACGCATTACACAGAAATTTCCTTACTGAACATTAAACTGCAGAGCATATTACGGAACCAGTGTAAAACTGTACTTGAATGTCTCCTTCTTCTCACCTATTCTGCCTCCTTTCTTGCTAGGGGGTGGTGGAGAAACACCCAAAGCTGCCTGTGACTGCAAACAATAAACCCAGAGCCCTCGCCTGGGGGCTGTACAGTAAATGCTGGGAGCAGCTTCCTGAGACAAAGTTTTCTCTGACAGACACGCAAAACCAGCCAGGGTCCCAGTCATTAAATTCACCTCAAGTCTAAAGGACTGCTTAGAGTTGCAAATACTCAGTCCTAGGAGCACTGCCGAGCATTTGGTGCCAGCACAGACTCCTGGAGAATTGGATGCTCGCTCCTAGTCTTGTGCTTGAACTGCTGCAGCGCATCCACCGTCTGCGCGGCAGCACAGCGCCCACCCCTACTTTGAAAGGCAATTTACCCTTGCGCTGAAGTTCTCGCCCTCCTAAACCGTACTTCCCCAAGATGATCATTTACAGCTCCCCAGCCGTTACTTAAACTCGAAAACCGCAAGAAACGCTGCAGAGCAGACCCAAAGAGGGGGGGGAGTGGGGCGTAAGGAAACCCACTCTTTCCCCAGAGGCTGCTGAGCTTCATGAAAACACTCCCTCTGGAAAGCCCGGAATGAGGGGGAAGACGGGGGGAAGAGCCTCCCGCCCCACCTGCCCGGCACGGCGGAGGTGGGCGGAGGTGGAGGGGGGTGGTCGGTGCCGCGCTGCCGCCGCCCCGCGCTCCCAGCCCGCCTCCCTCCCTCCCTCCCTCCCTCCCTCATTCCCTTCCTGCCGCTCGCCAGCGCCGAACCAGGCGTTGAGGGACTCTGGAAATCCGCCAGTTCGCCTCACCTGGAGCCGAGGCAGGGCTAACCTATTTATTTCATCAGCTGGCTCTCCCGGTGGAAAAGTTTAACAATAGAAGGCGGCAAAGTAATACCAGCTACAACAGCTCCCTGCCTTTCCTTTCTCCTTCCCGCTTCCCACCCCCCCCCAATAAAAGATTTAACACGGTAGTTTTTACTCTCTCCTCGCTACCTCAAGCTGACATTCTTCCATTCATAAGCTGCTTTCCCATTAAGTTAGCAGACGGGAAGGACTGCTTATTGAAAACATATATTCTCCCTCTTCTGACCCCTCCCTCCCCAAATACCATTTTTATACCAGGGACAAACTTAAGGCTCTGTAACGTTAAAGCTTATAATGCCGTCCATGTGCTGTCCCAAATCAGATTCAGATGAAGGGGATTTCTGCACAGAAATGACATGTCTAAAATAAGAGAACTTACCATAGACTTGAAAAAATGCAAATCCGAAGAGCAGGAGTGGCGTCAGCAGACCCATTTTGACATAGTAAAAGCAATCCCGATCGCTTGCGAGACTAATTCCACAGAGATCAAAAAAAAAAGAAAAAGGAAAAAAAAAAGAAAGAAAAAGAAGTATCCAAAGCCAGTAAGAGGTAGGTCCAAAAGTTTTCAGTTTCCTAGCAGCTACTTAAAGTGGAAAGGGAAATCTTGAAATCAAAAGCTGCAGATGCAAAGGTCTTGAATGTGACACTTTTAGATCCATACAGATTAGAGCAGCGAGTGAGCTCCGGAGGCTTCTGCTTTGCACACACGCTCCTTCCTAAATTCCCACCAATCCAGCCCGAGCAGAGGAATTATTCAAGTGTGTCTAAGACTCTCTTTAGGATCCATGGCAATCCAAAAGCAAGCTCTTTCTTCGGAAGACAAGGAGAGACTCTGAGAAAGGACCTGATTCCTAGAAAGCGCTCCACAAACTTCCCGGCACTTTGCAGGAAAACCATTGGCTTGGTTCGGCTATCTTGCTTTCCTCTCGCCCTCCCCCTACCCTTTTCTCTCCCTTTCTCTCCCCAAATCAGTTCAAGCTGCAGAGTTTCTCACTTAACTTCCATAATAGGAACGCCCAGGCAATGTGCTACACGGGAGGGGAACGGCTTGCTTTCTCAGCATCCCCTCAAAAAAAAAAAAAAAAAAAAAAAAAAAAAAAAAAAAAAAAA